TCAGCTCTCTCAATTTAAACTTGCAGTTATTCGAGGATTAGTGACAAAATATGACTCCAACTGGGCATATGCTGAAAGAGCATTAACTGATCATCCGTTACGATTGAAAGCGAGAATTTTCCTTCTTTGATTCCTCCAAATGATAGCAGTCAGACTCCTCGAAGAAGATGTTATGTTTATGGCAAAACCGAGCGGCATGCAAAGAAACAAAGCGATACGCGCTATCAATGTCTCGAATACAACGTTGGGCTGTGCATTACCGAATGTTTCAAAGAATTTCATACTTTATAAAAGATTTAACTCTATATCTGTAAAATTCTGTTAACCGAGATGAGGAATAAAAAGTTACAAAAACTTTCTAAAGGGTTAATACGCCAGAATCTCTGACAGATGTGAAACTTATCACTTAGATTGAACGAAAAAAGTAATAAAAACAAACTTTCCTCGCCTAACCGACCTTTTATTTCCGGCTTGCAGCATGGGAGCGCGTAGCCCCCTCCCTCCCCCGAAGAGCCGCAATCCATACTCGTCTCTGTGTACACAGCCAATTCTATCTTGATTTTTCCTTTTGAGATGACTGAATAGGACCTATGGTATAGGTGAGACAGTTCGATAACGCTTCGAATATGGTCGAGGTTGTCAAAAAAGTTTTGGGTCTCTTTTCACGAGGGCACCTGCAGATTTCAAAAGTACTTTGTTTTCAATCTGAGAACTCTAGTTCTAGACTCAAAATATCTGTAGGATTCCTGAGGATGCCAGCAACATTCCAGATTATACCTGTTTTATCCGAAACGATGCTAGTAACATTTCTGAGAATGTCAGAGAGATCATTGAGAATAATGGAAGCATTCATTCCAATGCTAAAACCATTCCTGAGGATGGAATTAGCAACCAAAAGAAAGCCTGTATCATCCTGAAACTCTGGAAACAAAAGTGAAATTCTCAGGACAGGTAAGTTTTATCAACTAAATTTTTGAAGCAGATCCTAATCTGAACTGATCTTTACCAACAGTTCATTAGAACATTTGATCGAAGCTGCTCTACGTCTAACTATTACAATACACGTGTGAAATAAGACATAAATTTAGACATACTCATTTAGACGTATAAAAAAAAGATGTATAGATTAGAATGTATAGATCAAGACGTATACATTTGGACGTACAGATTCAGACGTACTTACAGTACTATAGAAGAGTGAATGCATTTTTTTATCGTGTTTCGAGGAAACGATAAACCGGATAAACTTTGCATGATTGATTAGGTTGACAGAAATTGTCCTGAAATTCGTCCAGACTAGCCCGAACTTCGTTTAACCCATTCATGACTAGTCTATTTGTTCACCTACCCCATATAGACTCATTTATCCGAGAGAAAAACAGTGAAGGAAGAAGATTAAAGGTGGACCTGAACATCGAACGGGTGTTTTGCCGACGAAATATAATGTCAAGATAGACTCATACCAGATTATACAGTCTGTATTTCAGGTTGACTTCCGTCAATGTGCTATACGATCAGAAATCAATCCATACTAAGCGATTCTGAGTACACTAGAGCGTATAAAATAGTAGTCAGGACTAGTCAAAATTATTAAATGCGTTTGTAAAAACTAGGAAAATTGTCTGAGCTTGCACCGTCAATCGTACTTTAGAAGAATAGAAATACTTCAAACAAACAGTTTTATTTCTACTAACGAGGGAATATTCCCAGGTGTTGGAACGCTTTCCAGTCGTGACTTATCGTATCTTGTAGACCTTAGTAAGCTGCATCTACGGTAAAAAGAGTTCGGATTTCTGGCTTGTTTCTGAGAAGATCGAGTGGTTTTAGTGAATTTCCACTATGAGTCCTGATATTCGCAGCAAGACCAGGTTGTTGAATTTTTACCTGAAACTTTGGCCACATAAAGATGTCCTCTAGATTAGTTTGTTTCAAAAATTTCAGAACTTTTGGACTATGTCTCTCTGAGGTATGGAGTCTTGAAGGTATAGGCCATTTTTGATAGGTAATATATGCAGTATGTAATTTTTGAAGGCTCCACATCTCAGAGAGGCGTAATCCAAAAGTTCTGAAATTTTCAATGCAAACTAGTTTTTATGACATCTTTATGTGGCCAAAATTTTGAGGTAAAAATTCAACAACCTGGTCTTGCTGCAAATGTCAGGCCCTGTAGTGAGAATTCACTAAAACCGTTAGATCTCTTCAGTAACAAGCTAGAAACCCGAACTCTTTTTACCGTAGACACAGCTCACTAAGGTCTACAAGATGCGCTAAGTTCCGACTGGTAAGCATTCCGACACCTGGAAAAGTTTTCTCGTAAGCTGTTTTGCTAGTTCGTTAAACTAATTCGTAAAGGAAAGACAATTATGTAGAATACACGACGAAGAATTTTTCGATATTTGTATAATTTTTTTTGGAATAATCGATGCTTTTGATTTATCTTCTAATATGATTAGCAATTAAAAAGATCTTCAGATTCATCACTGAAATCAAGATTGACTAAAATATTATCCACATCTGTTTTTTGACATGTCTAACTATATTTGGCAGTTTCGTATGTAAAAAAAACAAGGCAACAAAATATTTAACTTGTAAAATAGATGAAATGACCAGTAAAAAAGTATATAAATGATCATTTTAAAGATTGAATGATCAGTACTTAGATTACCAGTAAATAATGAGAAAATGATCAGTTTATTATATAGAATAACAGTAAAAAAAAAAAGAAATTTCATAAATAAATAAGACAGATTTTACCAGTAGAAAAGAGGAAAATTATCCATAAAATATAGTATACAATGAGAGAAAAAAAATGAAAATGAGAAAAATCAGCAATAAATGATTGTATTAGCAAAGCACGTTTTGCTTTCGCTGGTCGATCTCTCTTTCTTTTCTCACCAATTGGCACGGTCTTTGCTGCCGGTGGTGGTTTATAAAGTTTTAAACAAATCCAATCCTGACGATATGCTTGCATATATAATTTTTAAGAAAAGCTGGACAGGTACATCTTGATGTTTTCCAATCTGAATCATTCTTAATTTCCAAGCACCAAATATCAAATGGCTTTTTCAATTGGTTGAAGATTGTCCATTTTTTGTTGACATATTTATTTAAAACAGCTTGCGAAGTAAATTTTAAATTAAGAGCTGATATGCAATATTGTTTGGAAACGTCATTTTGAAGAGAAATAACATCTTTCGTTGATTTTGCTCATTGATAAAATGACATCCATGAATTTAAACATATTGTGGGTTCTTTAGCAAAAATTTGTGCACTTATTGAAGATGGATCACGTTCAATTGACCAATTGCTAATTATGTTTGAAGTTTATCACTACAAATCTTGATAGAACGTGACGTTCTCTAAATGTATCATCATGTTTTATTATTTTATTGGTTGACTCTAGGGCATCGCTAATGGAGAGCATATAAAGTTGAATGCTCTCATACCAACAATCATTTGACTTGATCCATTCATTATCAAAATAATTTAAAAAAACTATGACTAATTGTTTTTTTTTTCGTCTGTTGTTTATCTTCGACTTCTTCGTGATAGTCCGAACTCGACCACTATAGTAAGACTACAATTGGTCATGTGTAGTGTCGTGAACGTTCTTACTTAGCTAATCTGAAGTGGTTTCTTTTATGTACGTCAAAATAGTAAACACGTCTAGTCTTTTTCTCAAAAATGTCTAAACACAACAGACAAAATGACGCCCATCTGTTAAAACTGTCAAGACTTCACTTATGGACTACAACTGATTCCGAACTAATTATGTACCAGGACTTTTTCAGAAAAATGCTAGACTGGACTTAACGTCACGACTAGAAATACGACTATTCTTTTTACCGGTTCGTTGCTAACCTGGATACCTAACTTAAATAACACTTTTTCGTACAGTTCATGACGCGTCTTTCTTTTCAAAAATCAAAGCGTAGTAAATAACGAAATGAAGAGATAAGGAGAAGATTATACTTAAGAACATCACATATAAGAGATATGAAAGAATAAGAGCGGATATTATACAATACATAAGGAAGAGCATATATAGAAAATAAGCATAACAATATATACAGATTCAAGCTATAGCAGCATGACTGATAGTCATACCAAGACATATTGTTAAGGTTAGATGTGTGTGCTGGTGTTATGCACTATGTTTATTTCAATAATAATAATAGAAAACAACAAAACGAACATATATGTAGTGAGAGAGAGAACGAAAAAACACGATAACGAATACAGATCACAAGATAGATGTAAAGAGATCAAAGAAGTGGAGGAAAAACACAGATTATGTATCTGGGTGGGTGCGACATCACCCTAACATTCTCCCCATTGAACGAAAAATGTACTATTAATAGTTTAGATGTATAAATAGTAATGATATATGACTAATGTAACGAAGTAAACGAAAGTTTACATATGAAAATAACAAACAAATGAACTGTTTATGTAGAGTGGAAAACAGCAAAATAATAGAAAAAGAAAAAAAAATCACAGTTTTTTAATGAAGTGAGTTACTAATATAATATCCAAGTATAGAGAAAAGGTAGAAAAACAAAACAAGTTTAATATCTGAGAGAAAGTAGACTAGAAAAAAAATGTTAATGGTTTCTTTTTTTTTTTTTTTTTGAATATCATTGGATGTTCATTTCGATCATGTTTAACGAGATGATCTATGTCTTTCTTGAGTATAACTAATTCCGTTATAATGAGATGTTGTGAATAAATGGCCAATATGATTTTTATAACGATTGATTTGTGATGAATCTCGTATGCCAATATGTAATGATCGTTTACTCGTTGTCGATGAAGTTGAAAAGTTGACGGCGAAGAATGGAATGTCGTAAGATCGAATTATATTTTTTATTTGTTTGATTTTAAAACGACGATCAATGTCATTAATTATGATAGTATTCTTATAGTATCGTTTTCTTTGTTTTAATGTAGTGGTTCGATTGTGCATTTTTTTTACGTTCTTCAGCCGATAATTGTGTATCTTATTTTGGTTTCGTTTTGATGTTACGTGCAATTGGTTCTGATGATGATTCATCTATAAGGACAATTCGATTCGATTGTGATGATATTGGTTGAGTTGGAGGTGATTCATCTTCATCAGATGATTGATATCGAATTTCAATGCCAGATAGTTGTACATGTGATATAGTTGTTGCTTGAATAATATGATTTGGTTTAATTAAATTTAAGTTAATTAATATTCGTTGCATGGAAAGACAATCATCAACGGCATATCGAGTTAATTGATTTCGATATTGTTTTTCAAGTTCGTTCATATGAAAAAGATTAGTATCAAGCCCAATATCAAATGACGATCTTGATTGTCGTTTGTCTAACCATTCATTTAATTGAAATACAACTGCATCTTGAAGACCCCAAGGATTTGATGATAATATACCAATACAGTTTTCACATAAGCATTCAATTGATGATTCATTTGATGATGTATGTAAGTGTAATGTTTGCCATTCATGTTTAAAAATAAGTTGTAAATTTTTTACGTTTGGCAAATAACATTGATTTTCATTAAATAATTTATAAATTTAAAATGATGTTAGTTCTTGAATTTTACCCCAAATATATATTGTTTTGGTGTTGTCAAGTAATTTTTGAAAAAATGTTTTCATTAAATGGAATTGAAATGAATGGTCTGGTGGTAAATTACACATTTCAAAAATTAAAACGGCTGACAAATTGTGTGGAAAGAGTATTTGGATTTGAATCAATACGGGCTTGTTTGTTGTTTGATAAACATTCACTGATTCAGTATCCAATATGAATATTTCTGATGTTGCTGCCATTTGAACGATTTGATTTAATGTATCGGTAGATGTTGAATAATTTAAATGGTAAATAAAATATGGAAATGGTTCAAATGGTGGATACATTGAGGCATATTTATGTTCTTAAAGTTTTTTCTTCAGCATTTGACGAAAATCTTGTCTTGGTTTACCAGTAAGAGATGACGGAACATTATTTAATTTCCAAACTGTGTCATCGTATTCTTGTTGTGATAACATTACTAGAAAAAAAAAATTGTAATTATATTGAATATCGATTCACAAAACATGAATCTATGATCTGAATTTTTTCGCTTCTCAAGTAAATAGGAATCTGTTAGTAACATGTTATATAATGTAGTCAATAGGAAAATGTCTGATATAATAAAAATAATTGTCATTAATAAATTAATATCTCATTTTAAAAGAATTTACGAAATCAAATTTCTTTCATGATTCTCAGTGTCTAGAATGAGGATCTGACAGAAAAATTGAATTGAATTAATATTCAATGATAATTTTCGTATTAATAAAATAATTAATTATGTTAATAGTTGTTGAAATTCAGGTTTAATAGCCCTTCATAACCAGTGAATGGGAGAAAGTCACATTCCCCGATCATGCTATGCTAAATTAAACTAAATTTAATTTATTATATATAATTAATTATTTCATTGAAATTTTTGAGATACTAATAATTTTATCATATTGGTTTTAATATATTCGTTCGAAGATCGGAAGTAACACGTCCGTGGTAACTTTGACGAGTTAATGTTGGTTTTTTGACGTGTTGAACAATATATGTTTTTGATGTAATAATTTTAATAATTTTAAATGGACCTTCATAACGAGTATCAAATTTATAACGGAAATTAAGCGTTTTTACTAAAACTAAATCACCAATATTGTACGATGGATTAGGACGATTTTTATCATATTGCTGTTTATATCGTTGTTGGGCTTTTATTATAATAGCTCTTGCTTGTTCATTTAATTTTGATAAAAATTGCTGAAGTTTTTTAACATGTTCTGAATCATAAGAAATTGTCATGTTCGTATCGCGATAATCAAATGGTAATGCAGATAATCGACCATACATCATTTGAAATGGAATTTGCTTTGTTGATGAATGAATTGAAGCATTGTAATTGAATGTTACAAATCGTAATTGATCATCCCAATCTGTTTTTCGTAAATTTGAAAGAGCTGCAATTTTTGCATCCATAGTTGAATTGTATCGTTCAACTTGAACATTGGTTTGAGGATGATACGGTGTTGAATATAAATGTGTTACGCCAATTTGTTTAATTAATTCGTTCATTAATGCTGATGTAAAATGAGTTCCGTTGTCCGTAAGAATGCAATGAGGTGTTCCAAATTTTGAAATAACATCTTCTTTGAGAAATCTAACAGCTGTTTGAGTTGTATTATCACGTACAGCTTTGGTAATGACGAATTTTGATAAAACATCAGTAAGAGATATAATGTATTTATTTCCACGTTGAGACGTTGGTGTAATAGGTCCATGAAAATCCATAGCCACTAATTGCCATACTCCATTAGGAGGTGGAATTTGTTTTAAAGTACCAGGAGAGTTTTGACGACGAGGATTAAATTGTGCGTATTGTATACAGGATTTGACGTAGTTTTCTATATCCTTATACATTGATGGCCAGAAGTATCGTTGTTTTATTTTGTGAAGAGTTTTACTTCTGGAGAAATGAGCACCATTTGCTGCTGTATCATAATATATCTTTAAAATTGTTTTTCGAAGATCACGTTGTGGTACATAAGGAACAGGATGTTTTGATCGACGCATTAATAAATTATCTTTAAAAATATAATTCTTATGTTCCTTAATATTGTTCATAATATTTTTTGCATAATCATCATGTTGTTGAGCTTTCATTAATTGTTCCATTGAAAATGAAATGATTCGATTCTCTTGATTGGAGGTATTTAGAGAATCTGATGTTAATTTTGTAGTTCCATTTATATCATTTATATTTATATTTCTTAATTTCATTGCACGAGTTTCAACAGCTGTAATAATAGATACATTTTTATTAATATATGAAGAATCGGTTTGTGTTGATGTTGAAACAAGATTTGAAATTTCATCAGGATCTTCTTCAGCGTCATCAACTGGAGATCTTGATAAATAATCAGGCATAGAATT